CCGGCTATTCAACTAGAGTAATGGTCAGGACACCTTCTTAGGCGCCTATGCAATCGAGAGTTCTAAATAAGAATATTAAATAAACATAAAGCTATATTTTTTTGTATATGGTTTTTATGCTACTTACGACGATTGGAGAATTTTCAACTTGTATTCGTTTTATTGCTGGGCAACACAGAGTCGCTACTGCGCTGACACCGATGATTGTGTACTACACCGACACACTGCACGGCAACACTGTAGCCAAGGCGAATCCAATGCACATTTTGCTGTGTTTCGGCAGAAAATGATCCGTATCCCGATAAAAATTTGTTTCACTGATAATAGGCAGAACTTTAGTAGCACTGACAAATGAATGTTTACACAAACATATATTCTGCCATTGCTTCTTTTAACTTACTTCAAATAAATTTCCTTTACGCTAAATATTTGTTTAAGTGAATATCATTTCGTTTAAATGTAATTTTTCCCACTTACAGGTCTATTCTGCACGTTACCGAAGATTTTGTAACCGGAAAAGTGTATTACCAAAAAATGTTACCAGTTCTTGTCACCGCGATTCTAGGTACGTTGGTAATGCAGTTAAAATATTCAGCTATGAAGAATTGTGAAAATCCTGGCATTGCATATTTCACGGGGCAATAATTTGTTACCAGCTTATGAGATGGTAACAAAATTTACCGGTTACAAGAGTACACAGAATGCGAAAAGGGTTTAAAAAATTGACAGGAACTTTATTTACCGGTTACAAACTTTTTATTACCAGCTGGTAACATAAATTTTGTAACCGGTAATTAAAGTGTCTGTCAATTTTTAAACCTTTTTCGCATTCTGTGCTCTCTTGTAACCGGTAAATTTGGTTACCATGTTGTTGTTGTTGTAGCGGCACTACTAAGCCCCGCCTGTTTCGGGTCAACTTTTAATCATTATCGTCAAGCACAACTAACGGTAGGCCCAGGAAACGAGCTGTTTCGATGGGGTCGGACCAAAGGGAGAGAGGTGTTAGTTGAGTCGGATTGAGCTGGCATGTGAAGAGGTGGTTGGTGTCGTGGGGGGAGTCTCCACATGCCGGGCACTCATTTGGGATGTTTGGGTCGAGTCTGGACAGGTAGCTGTTTAGGCGGCTACAATATCCAGACCGTAACTGAGCCAGGGTAACGCGGGTCTCTCTAGGTAACTGAAGCTCCGTCTCTTCCACAGGTGGTGATTGGGCTCCGATAACGACATTCCTAGGCCGGGAGTCGAGGTAGGTGGAGACAGACTCCCTATGAATGTCGTTAATCGCTCGTCTGTACGTCATTGGGTCCAGTGGTTGGTCTGTGTAGGTCTGGACTGCGTCCTTGTACATGAATAGGTGCCCCCTGACGTGCCTGGGCGGAGGCTCCTCCTCCAGCAGTGGTCTGTTGGGGTGTTCACTTCTGTGACACCCCACAAGAAACTGCTTACAGAGCATCTTGTTGTGTTCCCTTACGGGGAGCACTTGGGCCTCACTGTGTAGGTGATGCTCAGGCGTCATCAGAAGGCACCCGGTCGCTGTCCGGAGTGCGGCGTTCTGACAAGTCTGTAGCTTCGTCCACTGCGTCCAACTAGTCCCCGGCGTCCAAACTGGCGCAACATAATTTAGAACCGGCCGGCCAATTGCCTTGTATGTTGCCAACAACGTTTCTTTGGCTTTGCCCCAAGTGCTGCCGGCGAGCGACTTGAGGACCTTGTTGCGGCTCTGTACTTTGTTGACAACTGCGGTTGTGTGCGCGGAGAAAGAGAGCAGGCTATCAAAGGTAACCCCTAAAATTTTCGGGTTGTTCACCGTCGGTATTGGTGTGCCGTCGACGTGAATGCCTAATTCAAGCCTGACCTCCTTCGTCCAGGTGGTGAAGAGGGTCGCCGTTGATTTCGTTGGGGAGAGGGTTAGGCTCCTTGCAGTGAAGAAGCGAGAAAGGCTGGAGAGATAGCCGTTTACTTTTGAGCAGAGGTCATCAATTCCATTCCCAGACGCCAAAATCGAACAGTCATCAGCGTAGGAGATCAGGGAAACTCCTTCAGGTGGCTGGGGGAGTTTCGAGATATAGAAGTTAAAAAGTAAGGGGGAGAGAACACTACCTTGTGGAACCCCTTGTTTTATTCTTCTAGGTTTCGAGGTTTGATCTCTGAAGATTACTGATGATTGCCGACCACTCATATAATTCGCCGACCATCGCTTCAGTTCCTGTGGGAGAGAGGAGGCCTCAATGTCTTCTAGCAGCGTGGAATGGCAGACGGTGTCAAACGCCTTTGACAAGTCCAGCGCTACTAGGACAGTTCTCTCACAGGGGCGGTTTCGATTTAGGCCGCGGGTTATCTGGGTGTTTATGGCGTTAAGTGCTGTTGTTGTGCTGTGCACTTTACGGAAGCCATGCTGATGTTTCGCTGGGGTTAGGTGGCAGGTGAAGTATGGGAGCAGCAGGGCCTCAAGTGTCTTCGCGACCGGGGAAAGGAGCGTTATCGGGCGATAAGAGTCTCCTCTGTTGGCGGGCTTCCCCGGTTTCAGCAGTGGGACCACTCTCCCTGATTTCCACACATCAGGAATGATGAGAGTGGTCATAGACAAATTGAGGACCTCCGTGAGGTATGCTACCCCCACAGGCCCCAAATGTTTCAACATCAGCATACAGATTCCGTCGGGTCCAATGGCTTTGGAGGCTTTCGCCTTCCCGATGGCCCCCTTTACTTCACCGCTGGTGAAAACAAGTGGTGCATCGTTTTTGGGCAGTTTGTGCAGCCTCCTGGTCACTCGACGTTTGGCCTTGTCTACCGAAGGATGCAGTGTGAATTGCCGACTGAAATAGTTCGCGCATTTCTTCGGGTCCGATGAGGCGTGACCTTCGAATGAAATTTCCACTCTGTCATCACGCTTCGTCGGGTTGGACAAGGACCTCACGGTTGACCAGAGCTTACTCACACCAGAGGTGAAGTTACAGGCATTCAAGTGCTCTTCCCACTTTGTCCGCTTGTGTTGATTTACCAGTTGCCGAATCTCCAAATTAAGTTCCCTCAAGCGAGGGTCCCCGGGGTCGACCTGGCGTAGGTGGTCACGCTCATTTGCTAGTACAGCTGCTTCAGCCGGGAAATTTGGGCGGACTTCCGCGATGCGTCCGGACGGTATGAAGCGAGCTGCTGCGGCTGTGACTACCTTGCGGAACTGGCGTTCGCCAGCATGTACGTCTGTGGGTGTGGGGAGGGCGGCGAAGCTGCTCTCGGTAACTTCCGCGAAGCCGTTCCAATCAGCTTTGTTGAAGTTGGTGTAGGTTCGGTGATCCGCGGGAGCAAAGTCGGTGGGCTTATTGATCGAGATGATTATGGGCAGATGGTCTGATGCTAACGTTAGCATAGGTCGCCATGATATGCTATTTATCAGACCAGCGCTAGCAATTGTTACGTCTGGCGAGCTGCTGCAGCTGCCCACAATCCTGGTGGGGGCGTCGTCGTTCATGGTGCAGAATGTCGAATCGTCTATCTGCTCAGCCAAACTGTTTCCCCTCCGATCATTGGCCAGGCTTGAGTGCCAAAGATCGTGGTGCGCATTGAAGTCACCTACTACCAATCGGTTTTCGCCTCTGAGTAGCGCACCTATGTCAGGGAGATATCCAGCCGGGCAGCAGGTAACAGGGGGTATGTACACGTTAAATATTTCGAGCTCGACATCGCCTGACCGGACAGCTATGCCCTGGCATTCTAGGGTAGTGTCCCTTGGGTCGATGTCTTCTTCGATTAGCCGATACTGCACTGTGTGGTGTAGAATGAACGCTAGTCCACCACCATTATCTCGCTCGCGATCTTTACGGAGCACATTGTAGGCGGCGCAACCCCACAGAGTTGAGTTGCTGTGCAACTTCGTTTCTTGGACCGCAGCTATCAATATGCCGTGCCGACCCATGAAGACTGCTATCTCCTCAATCTTGCTCTGGAGTCCGTTGCAGTTGAGTTGGAGTACGTTTATGTGCCTTGGGAGGCTGGTCGCGATACGGGGGGTCAGAGAAGTGTGGGGCCTACCTTGGGCCTGTTGCGCCTGACGCAGTTGCTGTTGCAGCCTGATGGTAGGTGGCTGCGATATGGGCGTTGTTGTCTGCGTCGGCGGTGCACTACAGCAAGGGGCGCTGTAGTTTGTAGTCCATTCGCGAGTGGTGCGTAGACCAGAACATAGCCGGAAGTGACACCAGCCAAGGCATGTGTTGCATTTGACTGATGTCACATTCCGGTATATTCTGTTCTGGCACACGGAGCAGATGGTGTGGGCAACCAGTAGCTGCTGGTTGGCTCGCGCTCGCGAGTGGGACCGGCCGGTAGGTTGTGTGGGAGGGGTGTGTTGGGAGGTTTGCTGTTGCTCAGGGGAGCTTCTAGGGGCCGTGCAGGCTCTTCGGGTGCTAGGTCGCACCCGTGCATTACGCGAGTGGGTAGCCGTGGAGGCTGATTGTGCCATTTGGCTTGAGCAACAGGGAGCCACAAAGTTTGTGGTCCACTCCCGGTGAGACCTAAGGCCAGAGCAGGTTCTTAGGTGACTCCACCCGTTGCAGGAGTTGCACCTAACCGAAGTGGAGTTCGGGTGGAGTCGATTCTGGCAAACACAGCAGAAGTAAATTTCAGGTCCGGGGTTGGGCTCTACGCCCGCCCGGAGAAGAAGGATGCGGAGCAATCCGGCTGCAAGGTATTGCTCCATGGACGGATAATGATTAATGGGTATCGCCGATCTAGACGGGGTTAGATCGCCGAAACAACAGCCCTTGGTCGGGTGAAACCCGAGTCATTCCGGTACGTAGAACCGGCTGTCGTGGGAATGATTTGGTTACCATCTTATAAGCTGGTAACAAAATATTGCCCCGTGAAATATGCAATACAGGAATTTCCACAAATCTTCATAGCTGAATCGCTGAATATTTTCATTGCATTACCAACGTACCTAGAATCGCGGTGACAAGAAGTGGTAACTTTTTTTGGTAATAAAATTTGCCGGTCACAAAATCTTCGGTAACGTGCAGAATAGACCTGTTAGTGAGTTCATTCTTATAATTTCGTCTTCTTCGGTCTACTAGTAGACAATTAGTGCTGCCAACTCCAATAAGAATGATCCAGACCGTTTCCGTGAAAATGATCGTGATACTGAGCTGGATAACCCAAATAAACACAATATTGTGGCGAATACTACGGCAACGGGA